CAGATCTTGTGTTATTTCTGCCACACATCAGTAGATATTTTTCGATTTAATATGTCAGCCAGAGGAATTAAAAGTTGCATATCCCCAGTATCTGCTCTATGCTCATCACTTCTTGAGCCAAACTAAATATAAAAAAGAACTAGACAGATATATTTATATAAGTATATATAAATAAAAACCCAAATATAAACCCCCATTCAATCTGAAATTTCAGGAAATTAAATTAACGAAAAGCTAATGACAGGTTCAAAGCTCAGTCATTAAGGCTCTTAAATTGCTTTTTGCCTGTGCCAGAACACTGAGGCAGCCTCAGAGACTCCCAGGTAGCTCAGCAAGCGTCTGTTCATCATTGTTATTATTATGGCACCTATCAGCATTAGCCAGGGTCAGGTCCTTGCTATACTCAGCACAGTACAACAAAATGAAGTGGCAGTGTATTGCAGAGCATATCTCAAAATGATGGACTTGAAATTATTTCAAATGGACAAAATCAGCTGATTTTGATGGAATTAGGATGCTACAGTAGATACAGTAATTTGAACAGAGTGTTTTAAGGACTCTCATTTTAACAAAGCTACCTAAAAATACACACACACAGACATGCTTTTATCTACACCTTTGTCAATATATACATCCAACATTTTAGCCGACAAAGACCATAATGAATAGTTTCTCATCTGCTCAAAAACAATGAACCTACTTTCCTTCTCTTAATTTAATTATATTACATTCCCCAGTGCACTTTGTATTTTTACAGCAGTGTGAATGCTGTAAGTTGGAGATACCACTACTGATTCTCACAATTTTCTCACGATTCCCATGTTATTTGTCATTTTTTCTTTTTTAGAAAGATATTATTTAACTAAAATGAAAACAAAAAAGCTGCACTTCTGGTTTGTAAGGTGCTGAGGAAACCCTTGAAAACACAAAACCTAAGGTCTCACAAATATTGGAGGCAAGCAGGAGAAATCCTGACAAAATCTCAGGGTACTGAATACCTAATTGACAATTTTGAAAGCTTAGATTTAACAATTCGTCTCGTGATTCCGAAATGAGTGGTTGTCATGTGTTTTCTACAGTGATGGACACAGCTAGTTTTACATGTCACCCAGCTTCCTAGGACCACCCTTTCCATCCCCTCTATATGCAGCCAGGCCCAGCCCTCAGGAAGGCATGGGAACACACATTATCTTTTCTCCTGCATGGGTCTTTCATGCAAGCAATGACAAGGAAAAATATTCTTTTTAAAGCAAAATAATTGTAAACCCACAGAGTTTGGCAGAAAAACCTTAAAGGAGGCGTTGTACCAGAAACTTATTTTCTGTAAACTAAATATAAAATTGACTCCAGTCAACTTGAAATTCTCACTTTCTGTTAAATTTCATAAAATTATTATGAGCTAGGAGTTGGGAAAGTTCCACAGTTTGCCATCAACTACAGCAAGCTGCTTCTGAAAATAAATCTCTGACTACACCGTGTAAGGGATAACAGAAGTAAGAAGCTGAGACGTGTTCATGAATCATGCCTTGAGTTTTTCCAAATCGGTAATTAGCAGAGCTCAGTGACCCAACAACTATTTTTAGAGCTGTGTATTCACAAAGTAATTTAGGTATGGATATTATTAGATGAACATTTAATTACAAACCTCAATTACACAAAGTTTTAATTAGTAAATATTAAGATACATTTTAGCATATGGGTTATGATTAACATGTATAATCCAAGCTATAAACAATACAACTAATTACATTTATTGGTGGAACTTTACTCCACACACATGTTCAATCACTTTCAATTACTCCCTTAGTAATCTATGACCAGAAATTGTGTGCCTACATTGCAGTAACTGGGTGAACAGTTACTGTGCATTCAAGCATGATATTACAGACCTGTTTTTCTTAACATCTCACAATGGCAGACATGCAAAAATTTAGAGTAAAAAGCTGCAAAGACCAATAAAAATGTTAGACACTGTAGCACGTATTTGAAAACTGCAGCTAAGTTTTACTGGTTGGTTTAATGAAACCATAGCCTGATTTTTATGGCGGGATGGAATTTGGAATGAAGACCAGGTTTGGACACCAAAGGTTTGTAAACAAATTTCTCCTCCTTTTACACCAATTTTACATGTGATGGTACAAATAACCACAGTCAAGTCTTTGCTTAATATTAGGTTTCTCTGGGTTTCTCTGCTTTGTGCCAGGTTATTAGGTTTTCACAGAGAGCCTCACGCCATGACAAGGTGATCTCTGTGGTCCAGGTGACTGCAAAGGATCAGGACAGACCTTGCAGCAAGGCGAATTTAGAAGATATTCACTGAAAAAGCAAATGATTTTTTACTTTTTTGCTTGTTTTCTTTTTCCCTGTAGGCACAATAAAATGCAAAGGTACTAAGCAGAAACATTCACTCTGAATTAAACCCATATGCTCCAAGTTGTTCTCCTGTAAGAGGCATGGACCCATAAGGAGCAGTTGTGCAACAGGTCCCCATTACTACTGTAACCTACAATTTTATGAATCAGTTGACCCAAAATTCTTGCATAGCAAGTATAGAGGTGGTAGAGTAGCTACATGGCATAGCTGCTTTATCACCTTCATCATCTCCCCCACACAAAGCAGGAAAGAAAGTGAAGTGATTGAATATGTATTTGTCATAAGACAGTAATTGGCCATCAGCTGCTTCTTTTCTTTTTATCTTTTAGAGCTCTTTGCAACTGCTAAGTGCCATATGGATATAAAGTTGAAGTGAAAGGAGATCATAACAAAATAATATTAAAAAATAGTACTGCAATAAAGTAGCTCAGGGTTTATTTCAATGATATCTGCTACAGTGTATGTAATGTTTCATCACACTGCTTTCAGTGGAGACCTCAGATGTAAAACCATCTCTACAAAAACCAGGTGCTAACATCCTTTGATTTTTATTTTTTCATTTTAAAAAACAATCAGGCGACATTAAATATAATTTTCAGGTCTGGTTTTGCATGACAGATATGTCATGTGCCAATGGTTTATATATTACCTTCTTCCTCTCAGGCATGCATCTCCTGCAGAGACAGCAGACTACAGAAGCTGACCCTTACTGAGACCATCTTGTCTCTCTGACAAAGCTCCTTTTTAACTTCTTATTTACTGGTTGCTTCCTGCGATGGATAAAAACTTTAGCTCAGCTTGTGATAATTTCACAGGCCCTGAGCACCCTGACCCTGGAAGCCCCAAGGTCAAAAGTCAAGTCTTGTTCTGAAACATCTGTGTGCTTCATATTAAAGTAGAACAAAATGAAGGAATATCCACCAGTGTGACAAGAGAAACAGGCAAAATGGGAATGACATGTTGGTCATCTGTCACCCATGCCACCCTGAGCCATTGACTGAAATGTGATGGAAAAACTCTCCAAGCCTCCTTTGAATAAGTACTTTGTTTAGGAAACACTGAGAAAAGTCTCCAGTTGATTTTTATTCCTGCCCTGTGCTAAGCATATGTATCTGTAGGCATTCAGCGACCCAAGCAATGTGTCTTTACGAAACCAACAGATATTCTGCTAACGCTTCACTTTGGACAGACGAGGCACACCACAATAACCTGGACTGAAACACACAGGGCAGCTGAAAATCACAGCTGAGGAAAACCAAGGCAGAGGAGATGCTCCCTACCCTTCACTGCATCCAAGGAGCCCACAAATGTAACCTACTTCTTGCCCAAAGTTGTGGTTATAGAAGGAATTATTCATCTTCACTAATTTGGTCTCTTGAAAATTGAGTTTTGAGACTATTTATCGACCTGATACTAAATTACTGTGGAAAATGATCAGCTGAACTGCTCTCAAGTCTCAAATCTGTGCATGTCATACATATTTTAAAAATACTCTTCTGGAAGCAGAAGGAAAATCAAAATTGCCCTAATCTCTACTAATGAAAAAGGCTAACAAAATCTTCAGTTCTAAAAATAATACAAGTGGTCCTGCTCTGGATTCTTCTTGCTACTTAGAGCAGCACATGATAAAAACCAAAATACTCATGAATGCTTTTTCTTAACTAAGGCATTCATCTTACATTCAGGAAGAAACTACATTACTGACTTTCAGTTAGACTAAACTAGTGTGTTACAGACAAAGATGAACATACACGCCTGCTGCTTCCTGTGTCTATAAAACCAATGTCAATGTTCTGCAATTTATGTTTCCACAATTAACAGGACTTTTTTTTTTAAGTTTACTTCAATAAAACTGGAAGCTAAACTAAACCTAACCTAAACTAAACTAAATAAAATAAAATGCTGGGGTAACACCCTGGTTACACCAGAATTTCACAGTTAAGTGAGGAGACTACAATTGCACTAAGAGAATGGTATACACATTCAACAGGCAACTTTGCATACTATATGGGGTCAACACATATGCCTATGGAGAAAAGGATGAAAGACTAACAAATTGGATGTTCAGCAGTCCCAGCATCAGGGATAAGGCAGCTTCACACCAAGCAGAGTCCTCCCCAGCCTACATCACTGCAGGGCTTATTCAAGCCTAATAAATGGCAAAAAAGTCTTCCCAGCAACTTCTACAGACCCTTGTGGAAAAACTACAAAATTGGGTAAAACTCCCAAATTTCCACTCATGTTCAATCTGCATGCAAAAAGGTGCATTTGTCAATGTGACTTTACTTTAAAACTGTCCTTGTATGTTCTTCACCTCCAGTCTTTCTGCCCTGGAGCAGAAACTCATTGAGTGCTGCCTTTTGGCACCAGCCTGGACAAGGAGGATCCAATACGTTTTGTTTTCCTTTTGTCTTCCAGGTTCATGAACACTTGGGACCTTATTGTCTAACCCGAAACCAGAGAAAAATGCAGTGGCCTTCCAGTTGCAAAGAAATCCTCACAGATCTGCATCTGACCATTGGTTCAAAATTGTTCCTAAGCGGCTGCTTTCAAGATGGTGATCACAAAGAATTTAGGAAATCTATGAAAGACTTCACGAAAGAAGACAATGGAGAAATCACACTTACCAACTCTACAAAGGCAAGTCCACCGTAACTGTGAGCAACAAAAAACACGTTCTCTGCAGCTGACCGGGAAATGAAATGGTCCCAAACATAAATTGCATGTTCTTCGGGAGATCCATTATCCTGCAGAAAGAAATTATGTTTCCGACAATTACCTTTTAAAAACTGGCAATTCTGCCTAAAAGCAATGTGTTTTTATGTGTTAAAATGTTTTGTTAAAACAAACCTCAAATGAACATACTCCCGTGTCAAATAAATAACAGATTAATTTGTCTAAATAAAATTTAAGATTGGAATTTAAAGGCAGTAAAATTGTTGTTTTATTGCAGCTTATTTTAATAAATGCAAGAAAAATTATGCATCTGCAAAATTTTGTCTAAATACCATGATGGCAATTCAGCTAAACAGAGGCATTCAAAGAAATTATGATCCACTGCTCTGATTTTCATTCTTTTGACAACTCTTTGCCAACTGTTCACTGATGGTTCGTTTAAAGTAGTTAAGCCTTGGTCTTATAAAGCAAATAAAAGCAAGTAGGAACAATATAAATATAATTTCAGTCTTTAGATTTTTTTCATATAATGGGCCAACAGAAATCTGCCAAACATTAAAATTATGGTGTATGCATCTTCAAATGCTACTTTTCGCACCTGCAGTCCATGAGACATAGCACAGATAAAACACTTCTTGACTGCCTACATGTTAGCCATTATTTTTTAGTCTCTGGCAGTTACGGGTTTGCTTTTTTTTACTACTGAACAAGAATTTGTGAGTGCCAGTCAACCTAACAGTCACTGAAGGTGCTGATTTGCACTGTTTTTTGTGTACACTTCTCAAACACAGGGGTTGTGCACTCCCAACTGTAGCTTAGAGGCTCTCAGAAAGCCCAGTACCCCTCGATATTTTGTTTATTTCTCAGGCTGTCCATGTAGTGACTACAAATCTGTCTAGTTTCAGGTGACAAGAGTAAGATGCTCTGCTAGCTCCTCTGTCCCACCAGGATTTCACACCTCCAGCACAACACTGCAGCCACTTTCCAGGCTCTTCTGTGCCACAGAGAGCTGATCAGTCAAGGTCATGTTTTCTAGGATTTGCACCCCTTTTCCTGCTCGACCAATAACTGCACACCCCTAGGTGACTCCGATGCAGACCACAAAAGCCTCATTTCCTTGGGGAAAGTGAAGCACACACCAGCAAAAGCCACCGGCAATCACAAAATGCTAATTACACAGTGTGAATTACTGTAACTCTACCAAGAACACTGAAGTGATTTAGGTCTTAGTTCCATCATGCAACTCAGTTTTGGGAATTTAAGCTCTTACGAGTGTCTAAAATCAACGGGAAGACAGACAACGAAATAATGTGGTGGATTTAGGCTATTACTTCAATTGTCACGCCTAGTTTAAGAGTGAGATGGCTACAAATCCTCATGGCTCTGGACTCAAAGCTTTTAAAACAATTACGGGGTTTTACATCTTTTCTCTCTAAGGTAGCAGCTATTAAAACACATTAATCAAATTTGCCAAAAAGCACTGAAGGTATTATTTTTAATTGTGGACAGATTTTGCTCTTGACTGAGTGACAGAACATAGTTTCAGCTAACTATGTACCAAATGATTGCAAACCACCTCAACATGAGATAAGGCTTATTTTCTTTCAACCCTGTTCTAAAATTTGGTTGTAGACATAGGTAAGGGAAGTGAGGTGAGAGGAAAGTTTTTAAAAAGGAATTTCAGAGAGAAAATATGATTGGCAGTCCAGTTATTAAGGTAAAGCTGAAGGGCAACTTGAACTGGAGTTTTCTACTGAAAAGTGATGTATTTTAATTATGATAAGTATGCAAAAGGCATATTAAAGCACTGACAGAATTTTTAAAGACTAATCTACCTAAAAGATTTAGTTAAATATGCAGGTGATACTTGTTTTTAAATAATAGTGTTACCATTAATTCTCTTAACAGCAATTTTTGTATAGGTTTAACACTCTGACAAAAAGCAGAGCTCATTTCTAGTTAATACTTTTTTTTTTTTTTTGGTATTTTGTATTTATTATTCCAGTTGCTGCTGGGAAAAGCACACCATTTTAGGGTTTCCACAAGACTAAGACAGCAGCAAGAACAAATCAGAAACTCAGCCCAGAAAAGCTTCCACCAATTAAAGAATAACCAGTAGTCTAGTAAAACAAATCATTAATTGCACAGCTTCACAGCCCAGGACAAAGACTCAATAGGATTCTACAAAAGCAAGAAGAAATCAGCTAGAATGAGTTAGGTGTAGACTGCAACTACACTTCCTTTGTTCCTCGTGAAGAAAAGCACAAAAAGTCAGGATAAACTGCACTGCTGTATGTACTCTGCAAAACCCTAAACAAGGTGAGAAACACACATATGTGTGAGAAGGAGGTTGGAGGAGTTGTGTATGTTTAGATGAAAAGCTCTTTCTTCAGAGCATCTGCTTACTTTCTCCCCCATAACAAGCCCATATTTTAAACAACTCAGATGGAGAATAAACCAGCCTTGTGTCTGTACAAGAAACATCTGGCTGTGGGAGTGGGCACTGCTGACTGCAGAGCACGGCTGGTCTCCTTAGTACTTTGAATTGTGCTGGGTCCATGAGGATTAACTTCCTCTGCCTGGCCTGGGTTAAATTATGAGGCAAGATGCTGCAGTTTCAGTATGAAAGGTGACAGTTTCAGAGAGCTCTTGCTTTGCTTCTTTTCACTGCAGATGAATAGAATGCACTTATATACCACCTTGCTAAGTTACTACATAAAGCAGAGGCCTCTTGGTCATGTTTTACATAATCATCTACGTGGCTGTACTGAAAGGAATGGAGAAATCATGACATGTACCGCAGAAGGCAGCTGAGGCTGAATGCATTCTCATTTATAAAACAGATTGAGATGAAAAAGTGCTGGGAAAGCTGAACTTAAATTTCCAGCTGCTGAGAGTTGGTCATCTGTAACTGCTAACTCTATGTCTAAATAAGTGTCTGATTCTTTGGAAGTGTGCATGTCATCCCTATGGGTCTCCACCCTTTGAAAATCTCCTCTCCCCACCCCACCTAATATATAACTAGAAATAAAAACAAAATTAAGAACCATATTATATGAAAAGGCATCCCGCCGTGTGTATGCAAAGTAACCCCAAACCAGGCACTTGTTGATTGCTGCAGATCAGGTACCTCGTGACTGGAGTCCCGCACTCCAGCTCTGTGGTGCCTGGGTGGGGAATGGAGAGGATGCTTTGAGCACAGGAGTTACAACTTCCACCTGCACTCCCATCATGTACAGTCTTATGTGCCTCTGTTTTTAACAGAACACCAAGATTTACCCTTTAATTCACTAACACATGAAGAGATGTCTTTTTCCTAATAACTACTGCATTTTAGTTCTTTTCACCCATAAAAATAGAATGAATAATACCTCATTTACCATCAGTGACTACCAATGCTGTGGAAATTATCAGGTATTTAACACCTGTCATACTGGCATGCAGCAAATCCCACTGAAGATTGCCTTGGAGATAAAGGTGGCTAAAATCATTTTACACAAGGATTGCTGATGAATTTTACATTGCTGGTGTTATAGTTATTCCTCTTCCTGAATGCCAGAGAAGGCACATATTTCTGGATCCTGCAAAAAAGGGAGCATCTGTAAAAGTAATATAGAATATTACTATATAAGCACTATATAAGAATATAAGTAGCAAGATATTATCTTCTGATTCAGTTAATGACAGGTGAGTGGGGCTGATCAAAAAGATGCTCTAGCCACATGGACATTTTCCTTTGGAACGAGAAACAACCACCAAGCACTTGCAAATAGAATAACATTTTATTATTTCATGTGGTACAGATGAGTATTCACAAATACTGGTTTAAGAACAGATTCATTTTTTTCTCGTGATAAAAGCCTTTTCTTTTTCCCCCTGTCAATATGTTTTAAACACTATCTATCTCTTAACCATGTATAAAGAATCCAGACTTTTAAAACTGAATCACAATTGCTCAGAAAATGATCATAAATGGTTAATATGGACCTTTTCAACATCAAAAGCTTAATCAAGCAGTTTAATAGCATAGTCTGTGAAAAGAGTATGAGAAGGATTAATTAATTCATGTTTCGCATATATATGAAGCCATTTAATATGCTAGGGCTAAAGCCTTTCCTACAGCTGTTTGAAGCAGCATCTTGTGGCAGTGAAGAGGTTGCTGTTTGCCTATCTGCATGGCCTCAACTCAAGTCCTGGCACAGGTTAGGGACATCCTGGGCTGCTCCATCCAAGACCAGCTGGGCCTAGTTTTGTGAGGACCTTAGACCACGAATTGCAGCCCATGACTATGCTGTTTCAAGGTCTATGTATTTGCATCACTGTATATAATGTCCACGTAGTTGTAAAATTTGCATTAAAAATTTGCTATAAAATTCTGCTCCTCATCTTGTTTCAAAAAGTGTGCACTGAGAAAGCCATCTTGCAGATACAAAAATATCTCTGCAATAGTTTTTAAGTCCCTGAAAAAACAAAATGATTTTGGGTAAATTCTTGGGCCATCCTTTGTACAAAAAAGTGGAGGAAGAGACCACAGATTTTGGTCTGTCCTTTTTTTCCAGTATTGCTGGTGTTAAGAGTTGAAAGGTATGCAACATTTTAATGGCTGGAGCCATTAGGAATAGGCAGATAAGCAGCGTGCACACAGTGAATATGGTATTATGTTCTGTTGCATTCAAAAAACCAGGCTGAATTTACTAATGTAATATCACAGTCATTAATTGTTAAATACCAAGCTGAAGTGATGCAGCAACAGAAGCCTTATCAACTATGCCAGATTCTAACACCTAGACATTGCAAGGTCTGCAGTTATGATGGACTACCTGAGTTGATAACACATGGAATTATCTAAACAACATTTGCATATTTGTGTAATTACTTCCTAAGGTTAATTAGCTCCTGCAAAGCAGCTTGCCCTTTGAGACTGCTTACTGTGACAGGTTCACATATTTCCTATTTCAATGCCAAATTTTACTCTTTTTTTTCTTTTTCTTTTTTTTTTTTAATTTTTTTTTTAAGAAGTAATCTGTTGCTGGAAAGTTACAGACGGGGCAAAAGCTGGAAGCCTTGAACC